TAAAGAACAGTATCAAATCAAGATGCAGTTACCCCATCATTTTTTATGATGTATTTTTCTCTTTAAACTTTTGTTAAGAAAATCTTTATAAGACAGATTGCATATTTTATTATTGCCATTTGTTAATAGAGCTTCAATGCCAAGATATGTTTTCTGAAAATGCTTGCATTGTTGACTTCTAGAAGAGACTGATGTGACTCAAAAAGCAGCCCATAGCAGTCCAGAACTATTTTAAGGAAAGTATTGTAATATATTGACTTGTGGCTTCTGTAGTCTGTGTAATTGTTAATTCAGACACACTTAACCATGAAATAAAGGAATTCAGAGCTAAGCAATGTATGAGTCCAACTGTATCCTTAAGGCACTGCACACAGTACATGCTTTAATGAATATACAGCCTGGGCTTTTCATCTACTTAATGCAGTATGCACTTTTGCTCAACTTGGCATCTTCCAATTCCATTTCCCTCTTACATGGAACAACAAGCATCAGTTTATGAAAATTAAACCAGATTATATTTGACAGCATTCTGGATACCAGGAACAGTAATCTAAACTGGAATTTTCAAGCAGCAGATCTACTACAAAGAAGTTGAAATAAAAAATGACAAATCAAAATATGTAAATAACTCATATTCACACAGAATCATCCAGATACCTTTTCGTGCTTCCTTTTACCTATTTGTAGTAGTAGTGATGTTTGTAAACAAACACTCTGCACTCCTACAACGAGCTGGGCTCTTGTTCGAATTTTGTATAAATATTTGTAAATTGGTCAGCTACTGTAAATTAAATTTAAATAAGTAATGTTGAAAATTTTAGCTTTTCCAAATAAAGTTGTGAGACTTCTTTTAGATCTCCTGTAGCACAGTTGTGCCTGTCATGTATTTGTTATTGAAGACCAATTAATTGTCAAATTGTACTTCCTGTCAAATTCATATTTTCTAAGTTTAATATTTTGTATGGTATACTGTTGAATAAAATTTATATGGAAAATACAGCTCCTTTTTCTAGTTTGATGTTGTTTTGTATTGGATATTTTTAAATAATTGCCATTTCTTATAACTATGTAGAAAAGAAAATGCTATGTATAGGTCAAGATCCTTTTTAAAATCATGAACTTCTATAGGTCTGTTTTGCACTGCATGTGTGTACAGGTAAATGTTTTACCACTGCTGTTTCTAAGGAGATTCTGAAAGTCTTAATGATGTAAAGTAAGTGTGGTGAGGTTTTTTTTTGTTTGTGTCTTTATGTTTGTTTGTTTGTTGTTTTTTGTGCAGATCTTAATTTTTTTCAGGGTTCTGAATATAATGTTTAGAAATTGTAAACTCTGCATACTGTGAGGCTACTTAGTGCACAGCCTTTATTGCTATCTGGTCTATCTCATGTTTTTTTTGGCTTGCTTCTACAGTGAAGCAGTCTTTTTGGTTTTATTGGACTCTGGTAATCCACAAAAACATTCTCATTCTGTATCTCTGCTCTCCCTCACTAACTTCTCTCTTAGTAAGGTGATGGACTTGGTCTTAATGAAATTTTCACTTTATTAATGCCCTGTTCTATGTAAAAAGCAGCCAAAGTGTGTGTGGTAGTTTTTTTGTTTGTTTGTTTTTAGTACAGAATCATGTCTGGATTCTAAGATGCTCTGCAAACCCAAGATGGATTTTTGTAAGTTTTTTATAATGTGCCCTTTTTATAAAAGATGGTGATGGGTCTTTGTTTGCAAAATTTTCTCTAAATAAGATAAGCCAGGCAGGGATATTCATATTTAAACTTGAGAAAATTGCATTTAGAGTGAACTGATGTGAGGTGTGAAACTACAGGTGCACGTATGTCTTTCTTATAAGACTTTGCATCTGAGAACTTTGCAGCAGAAAAAAAAAAATAGGTGCACCTTCGGTGGACAACACACTTCAAATTATTGGTCTATATTTAAAATTGCTTCTTCATATCTGTTATAAAATAGATAAAATTATGTTTTTCCTGCAACATGATAACTTCTTTATGTCTCTTTTGCAGCCTATGCCTTACCAGGTCAGTGGTTCTTTTAATACACTGCAAGATCTGTGACTATACCAGCCTGTGCATTTAAAAAGAATCTTATTGCAATTTTGTTCTTAAATTCTCATACTTTTGGTAAGCTCTATTTATAATCAGAAACATGAAGACCAGATGGTAATTTTTCCCAAGCGTAGGGAGATGGGCATGTTCATCGCATCCTCTAGCAACAGAAAACTCGCTGCTAATTTCCTGTGTGCTAGCTGAGCTGCAGCCGCTCTCCACTGACAAATGCAAGGTGTGTGTCTTGGCCTGGCCCAGTGGCCACAGAGTACTGCCATAGTCCTGTGTAAAATAAGATCTTTGTAGCTACTGGCAAGTGGTTCATCTGGCAAAAGCACAGAGTGGCAATAGTCACATATGTTAAAGAGCAGCCTGAATGACCGAGAAGGTAAATTTTATCAAATTCATGTTGTAGTATTCTTCCTTCAAGCCAAAACAAAATCAGCAGCATTTCCTGTGGAAGTGGCAGACCAACAACCAGTGAGCGTAATGAGAGTTGTTGTGTAGTGGGCTGTAACTTTTGACAGAAAGTATAAAATAGAATATCACAACATAAATTCTTTTGGGATTGGGTGGATATTCTACATAGGCTGAAGGTCTGGGGAGAAGATTTAAGGACCTGGATTTTTGTCTACTCTGGGCAGGTATCCAGAGTGAGAAATCCACTAATAGCAATCATAAATCTTACTGTTAACACAAAGTTTTCCCTTTCTTCTGCACTTCAAAATCAAAACTTTTGTGTGTTTCCTATAGGGATCAAAAAATAGTCTAATGGGAGACCTTCTATAAAAGGTCTTTTTTTTTTTTTTTTTTTTTTTTCCCCCTCTTCCCTCCTTTCTCCTGACTGACCATGGTCTTCGTGTTTGTGCAAGATGACAACATCTCTGAGGATGCACTGGTGTGAAGAAAAATGCTTTAGTTCAGCTCAAATGTATTTTGAACCAACTTGGGAAAGGAACAGGAACACAACATCAAATAATGCATGCATAATGTAGTCTGTGTATTTAAAATTATTTTAATATTTTAAGAGGTAGTTTCTAAGGAATCTGTTATGAAAAAATCAATGTATAATAATTTTAAGAATCAAGAGTGGCAGAGTGATTGGGGAGAGATAGCATGAAATGTTTATCTATCAGACATGGTAAATGAACGCAAGAAGGAAGGGTAGTCAACTTTAAGTAGCCTTTGTGTAGAGCACCTTGAATGCCTATTTAGAAGCTATGCTTTACTCGAACTTAGGTTTCTGGACCCAGTTCTTGGTTTACTTAATGTTAAATGTAAGTCTATTGAAGAACACTGGTCTTGATCCAATGGATTCTTGCTTTGGGGATCTCGTATATGTTTTGTAGAGTTCTTGTTTTTGTTAGGAATCCTGTTGATCTGTTAATCCCTCTAGGTACTGATATACACCTTTCAGTCTTACATTTATTGTATAAAAAACATGATGCTTGTAAAAAGAGCATGCAAGAGCACATTATTTTGGTCTAATCACAGGTCAAATTAAATTGAGAACTACATTAGCTCTGAAAATAACTTGAATGAGTCCTGGTAAAAGGTTCGTCTCCTTCCTTTGGTTGTGTTCAGGATGAAAACAAAACTTGTGTAATGTACATATTTTTCCTTTAAGCATTTCTGCAGGACTGCAATACTGTGCCTTCTGTAGGTAAGGAATACCTTAAAAGCAAATTCTCCATTGTGCTGTGTTCCCTTCCACTGTCCTTGAGAGAAAATCTGGAGTGTCACTCTAGTGTCTGTTTCTAGCATAGCTGTTGAACAAGTGATGTTTGGATATAGAGTATGCCTTGTAAACTGTGCACCGTAGGCCTCAGTTGGTGAGTTGGGGTAATTTTTTTTTTTTTTTTTTTTTTTTTAGTACGTGCTGCTTAGGAAATATTTTGCAATGTGTAAACTTATCAAGAAGATTTTAATTTTGCACTGTAGGAAAGCTTGTACGTGGAAATACCAGCTTGGGTGTTTCTATTCTTATGACTCTAGGACAAGTTTGCTGATTCATTTACAACCACCATTTATCTGAAGATCTAAAAAAGGAAATGGGAATAGAGTTATACTGTGTATACAAAATTTATACTTGAAAGCATGTGGAAGTTCTTTATAAACTCAGTATGACTGTGTCTCTCTAATTTAAATATATATAAATTTGATTAGTACAGTTTGGAAATGTTTTTATTTTGTCTGTGGAAAGCACTGTATTGTGTATGAAAATGGAGAAAAATAAAGAAAAAAAGGTGACTTGACTTAAACTCTACCTGGAGATACTGGTTGTCTTTGCTTCCAGCCCCTTGGAAGGGGAGGGGAGGGAATTTGAAATGACCAATGACTTAAAGTTTAGGGCTTCAAATACCTTTAACAAAGTGCAGGGAACGTATCCGATAACACTGTAATTTTTGAGTACTGTATTAACCAAACCCATGCATGCCAGGCTCATCCACTGGTAATTTTATGCATGCATTCTGTGGAG